CCAGCCCTAGGCAAATGTTTCTTAGTTATGTTTGGATATCTCTCAAAGGCTTTGGTTATTTCAGGCTGCTGAAGTCATTGACTTTTGCAGAAGCTGTCTGATGCCTGATACTACTGAACATGACCCTACTTATGTAAAAGCTCAATTTTAGGGTGCTGTTTCATGACAGCTTAACCAGATTAAGCACAGACCGTGATCTTGCACCTATCTGTTTTTTCCAATGACAGCGTTCTGTCTTCTCCAACGCAACCCTACCTTCAAATGGCGGTGCTATGGAACTGCTCCCATTCTAACTTTCATTTCCCATATTATCCTACTTGACCTTACAATGTGGACACCAGAGTCACTTAGGGCTCTACATGGACCCTGGGACCATATTAAACCACCTGATTGTGCCTCTTTTAGAGAACCTGAATTTGAGAAGCAAAGTACCTGTCCAAACATATGTGCTGGCAAATCGCTCCTCAAAATTAATGAGATTTCCAGCATCAAAGAAGGTGCATGCCTTTTACTGAATACATGATAAAAACTTGCAATAAACATACATTATTTTTATGAGCACTTCTCTTGTGAGAGTTCCCTGTGCTAGACAGTCTTGTGAAAGTTTGTCATATTTTGCTTCCAGTTAATAGCAGCCTAGCACAGTCGTACTGCCTCGTGACGAGAGAACTGAATTCATCTGAGCCAATAAACTCATTCTAATTTGCATTTTCATAACCCACCCTTCAGTACCCCAAGTGTGATGCTCATACTGAGGATAGAACTATGTGGTAAATGGGTATGTAGGCCCTTTTAAAAAGGATATTTATCATCCTTGAAGAATCTTAGTGCCAAATCTTAATAGCATTTCTTGCAAAAAGTGACTTGAATTAACTATCAGATTGTGAGGTAGAGCTGCAGAGATTGTGAATAGCCTTTTCTGAACCCATTTGCTGATGAACAGAGGTTGAACCCTAAAACGCTGAAATTTCCCTCCAAAATGAAAGTTTTGAACAAATAGTTCTACCAAATCATAATGTGCTAGAAATCAAATGATTTGCAGAGGAGCTGCGTTTTATTTAACTGAGTCACTTTCAGTGATAAATAATTCAACATACCTTTATGCAATGTTAAAATACCTTTGCTAATTATGCCAGTTGGAGGATTATTTATGCAAGCTTTTGATTTTTTTTTTCCCTGTGTCAATTAATGTTAAATACAGAAGACTAGCAGAACTTTGTCCAGTCTGTATGTGATTTGATGAAACAAGTGCCTTAGGACCTACTGACTCTAATTAGAGTCTGCAGAATGCAAAATGAGAACCTTACTTTTAAGTGTCCTCGCTATTCTGTTTAGGCATCCCTCTGTAAATTTCTTTTAAATAATTCCTGGTTTTAGATATTGAGCAAAATCCTGAAATCAGTAAAAAGTTCTTATTGACTTCAGTGAAGGCAGGATTTCATCAGCTCTCTGCAAGTCAGTGCAACCATGCTGCTTATTGCTTATGTCTTTTTCTTTTATATTGGCTCCCTCCTTTTGTTTTGGGTCTAGTTTTGCAGCACCTGAAGATAGAAAAGGCTTTAAGATTCAGAGTTCCCAATCTGCATGATAAAAATACTTTGTCATGTGCAATTTAATTCAGTCTTGGAAGTTCTCATTATTCTGATTGCTTTCTCTTCTCAGTTTTCAGCTCTTAGAATCACAGTATTTTATATGAAAATCTCAAGTTTTCATATGCAAAAAGCAAATTTCTAGTCCTCCTGTTTCCAAAGAAAAAACTTGAAAGCATAAATTCTCATACATGCCTCAAATAAATGAGTCAAAAGAATAATAATAAGAAAGTTCCCCTCAAACTAACACTTTAGTTTGGAGAGGGGGGAAAAAAAACCCTCGTTTTTCAGGAAGCAATTCATGATTTTTGAGCTTTTGGAATTATCAGTCTTACTCATTAAAACTCTGAAGAAGAGTCATTTTGACTCTTCTTTAGTGGGGTCTTATGTTGATTTCTTTGCATTTAAAACTGCTCTCATGAAGTTAGAATGTAGCCTTATAGAATACTGCCCAGGGAATTGAGATTTGTTTGCGTTTATTGTGTGTAAAATTCATGCCTGGACAGATTCAGGCTTTCACAGGTGTCTGCACCATTTACATCTTTACTGGAAAAGTCTTGCACGAGGACGATTTTCACATCATATGAACAATGTGAGAGGCAATTAATGTTCTGAAGCTTATATCTTTACAATAATAAAAAACAGGTGCAATGCAAATAGGGCTTATATATATATATATGAGAATGTTTACAGTAAAAGTGGGACGGGCAAATAATTTTCAGAGCGAGGATGTAGCCAGTCTAAATGGAGTTGCTTTGTGCACCGAATGTGGAGGAGTTGGAAAGGACACAATTTTTGTAATTCTGCGGAAGGTCATTGTGGAGACCAACTTTCTGTCAACAGCAGAGTGGTAGAGGAGCCCTGGTTTTGAGATAAGATAATTAACATTAGGGCTTTTTTAATTTTCCCTGAGCTATGGTACAAAACTGCAATCCTGTTCTGCTTTCTCATTCACGTTCTGCGTGAGCCATTTACAGTGGAAATGTTGAGGCCAGTCAAGGTCACTAGCATGTGGGTGCTGTTTTATTAACTTAAAAACAAAACAAAACAGAAGTGTTTCATTGGCTTAATATTTCACTGAGAGCGTAGTTCTAGTGCATTGACTGAACTTGTACGGGGACTGTCTGAACTAGTGACGTGTCCTTAGAGCGACCAGTAATGAATTCAGCAAGACAAATTGTCAGGATGTTAAAAATGATTCTTCAGTCTCTATGCCGCTGAAAAGCGGAAGGTGACGAGAGATTTTGATTCTGCTTGTGAGGGAAGAGGGGTCTTTAGCATTGCTTGGTTTGCTTTCTGCAGACTTCCAGCCCTTCAGCTTTATGTGAACAAATGATGTTTGCTTCATAATTGTCATGTTATTTCAAGAATGCATTTTTTTTTCCTTATTAAGTGGTGGATGAATGATCTTCTACTGGTTGCTCAGTATAAATATTTCACAGAACCAGGTAAAATATATATATTCTGAATTCTACAAATATGACACTTTAAGCATTATTTTCAGTGTATTTAGCTGAATTATTTATTTAGGCAGCTAACCCTTTTATTATATCTAAAAATAGGAAGTCTATACAGTGCTCAAATTCAGAATGTATTTTACTTTGAACAACAGTCTTTACCTTCAACACAAATCTCTGTTTGGCTTTTTTTCCCCTCTCCAAGATTACTTTTCAAGATTTCCCACCCCTCCCACCAAGTGAAGAACCTCAACAGAAATTGTTTTAACAAGATAGACATCTAGTTCAGTAGAAGAAACCTCTCTGAGGAAAAATAAATCTCAAGAAGGATTGTGCTTCTAAAAGATAATTAATTAAAAACTCTTTTAGTGTGGTGACAGATTTGACATCTTGTCTAACATCTTGAAAAGAAGAATGTATTTGGAATTGCACAATCAGAATAAAACGTTCCTTTTGATGGCAAGGCCAAGCCAGTGTCCTGTGATTATTTTGCAGGGAGTAAAAGGCCACTTTTTATTTGCTACATCCTTATTATGTAAGGCTTCTGCGCCCAGACTTTCACAAGTTAACTCGTGACCTATTTAGATTGCCCAGATTTCAAAGTCAACTTACACTGTCAGAAATCTGATAAAGCAGACAGATCTCCTTGTCGGAGTAGTGACGCAACCCTTGTCCAAAGCAGGCTTCTTATTTACAGCTCCATAAGACAAGAGTTTCAACTTTTAGGTGCCAGGAACTGGGAGATTGGAACATGATTTGCCTCTTATTTGCTGTACTAATCTTTTAGGGGGAAGAGTTATGTTTGTAGTTAAATTTCAGCTTGACAGAATAACTCAGCAAATCTTGTTTCGGCTCTTTTTTCTGGTATGGGCTGGTTACATAACTTTCTTTCAGTTGTTGGTTGAATCTCAGGATGGGGAAGGCATTTTGTTCTGCTGCGACTGCGTTTTTGTGCATATTCATTCAGTAACCCCATGAGTCAGGATGACGTGTACTTTAAAGAGTACTCAGAAAACGTGTATGCAAAATGCACGTCCATCTCATTGCATGCACGTGGTCATTGATGCATGCTAGGCTCTCTTTTATAATCGGCACTCAAGGTTTATGCACAATTTTGAAGGCAGACTTTGAGTATATGTCTGTGCAAGTGTCTTGTGCTGAAAGATATTGTCCAGTCCTCAACCCATACAAAGCTCTGAGTCTCCAGTAAAGTCTGTCTGTATGTGCGTGTATATATAAATATACATATACAACGTGTGAATACTTTGACTGAGGGATTGGGCAGTATTTTTGAGTCTTCATAAGAAAAGTAGCAATTACATGCGTGTATAGAAGTGGAATAGTCAAGTGGATTGCATCTTGCTTGCTTAATCAAAGGGGCAAGCTTTATGCAAGTCAGGAAGGAAGAGAAAGGTGTCTATCTGCTACATCTGAACACCAGGAAAATGGACATGCTGTGGCTCAGGGGAAAAATCGGGGTCCATCTGTTAGTAAATAGATTCTATGGAGAAGGAAACTTCTGCGATACGAAACCTCATCTTTGAGTAAAGAATTCCCTCTGTAACTTGGTGACGGACTTTCTGAGACTAAGCTTAATTTAAGTGTGTATTTAAGCCTAGCCGGATTCACCTGTGTTTAGGAGCAGTGTTACAGCCTGTTTTTGTTAAGGCTATGCATATCTGCTATTGATCGTGTTGACTGAGTACTTAACCCTCTGAGTTGCTCTTCGTTAACCTCCCTATTTGCCCACGTGTATAAAAAGTGAAACCCCTAACGTAAAAATTACGGTTAGCAAGATTTGAAGGGGAACTGTTGATATGACAGATATGTTCTTTTGTGAACATGAAGCACGATGTTTTGTTTATGAGCACTGAGCCTAACCCCAGTGTCGTTCCCAGAAGCCCCCGTGATTGAATGAGTGAATGTTAAAAGTCCGTTTTCTTTATTTCCTCAGGTTCTGCTGCTTGCATTTGCAGAAGATTTAGAATGCGTCCCTGGATTCCAGCAAAAGGTTTTTTATATTGAACAGCCTTCTGAATTCACAGAGGACCAGCCAGTTCTGAACTGTATGTTGTTTTTGATATATTATTCTGCAAAAACAGAATGAACTATTGCTCATGTGTTCATAGCACTCCCACCATTCATCAGAAAGCTGCTCTCTCTCTTTTTAAGTACACAGAATGCTGAATATGGTCATGATTCTGTCTGGGTTCCCCTGCCGTAAACCTATATTTATACAGACTGATCTGTTCCATGTGTTAGAGGTGGCAAAATACGTAAAAATATGTATAAATATTCAGGACAATATGAATATTGTGAAAACTCAGAATCATCCACTCTTTTAAAGTAGCTTTTATCTGAAATTTTAATTTTTTCTTATTCTCTTGGAAATCAATGCTTAAGTATCAACACTTTTCTGTTACTTTGTTTCTGTAACTCAAGTTTAAATATATTGTAGGAGCTTGGCACTAAGTCTTTGCAGGTCCAAGTCTCTCCTAAAATTTATAGGAGCTTGGATCAAGTTTGTGATCATCAGTGTTTTTTAAAAAAAAAAAAAAAAATCAACTTTACTACCGGGGTTGTAGAGGTAGAGTACTCCAGTAGTTTTTTCTGATGGCTAGGTGTCACCTAACAAAATCCAAACCGTATACCCAAAGCATTGAACTAAAAGGTGGAGTTCTGGAGACTTGACTGTCTTCAATCCTGGTGTGAGTTCACTCAAATACATTAGTGAGCAAGTGTCACAAATTGCTTTTTCAATTATGTGGGTCTGGGATTTTAGGACTGCCAACACAATGTAGTACCTTGACCAATAGTCAATAATTTTAAAGAATTTTTTTAAAAGGTAGTTAATGATGCTATTCTCTTAATCTGCAAACCCAACAGTTTTTTGTATGATTCATATTACTAATAGTTCTTTTGTTTAGACTTGGTTGATTGCTGTTGACCTGGGAACAATGCTAGATATGTGACATGAGATACTAGTGCTGGTATCTAGTCAAGTAGTTAAATTTGATAATGCAGTGTAGAGTAATGGTCTGGTGAGGCTAGGAAATACAAAAGATTGTAATTCATTAGACATATATTTTCCATTTTGATTACCTCTTTAAGGTATTATTATTCTGTGTTGACATAGTTGCTCTGTTATGTTTGGATGAAACTCTAATATATATGCACACTAGTTTTAAAATAGCATTAAATTTCAGAGTGAAATATCATAATTATTTATTGCGATGACTATTTTAGATTTATTTCAGTTAGACTTTAAGAGGTGCTAAAATGAACTTTTAGGATTACATTTTTTTCATCTAAGCATTTAGAAATTTTATCTTCAGAGGAAACTTAGATTTTTAAGTAACAGTGCTACCCACTAGGATGTAAGTTCATTATCCAGCTTGGAAGACTGAACTCACTTCCAATTTCTTTAGGCAATTTTAGTTTTTCTGAAGTTTTTCTTAGTTGATGAGCACAACTTGAATGAATTCAAATTCATGCATGAATTTAAATACATATTGTTAAAAGTAGGAATTCATAGAGCACAGGAAGTGTAATAGATTTAATTTAAGCATGCAGTATTGGAAACCTGTTGAAAGAAAAGCAATATTCACAAATTTATTCAAAAACAACCTTTTGTCTTGTCTTTGGCTTCCTCCAAAAACATCGATGCTGTGATGTGTCTGGCCCTGGCCAGATCTGCTGATTTGTGCTTGCCCTACTGAACAGTGTAAAGGACAAGCTGGTTAAGCCAAAGTTGAGCAGGCTGCTGTGAGGCAGCCCAGCAAATTGCACTAGTGTGAAGCTCACACAATAATTAAGATGCTATTGTTAATAATGAGGAGGTGAGAAGAGGAGGGGGAGATTTGGAAACATCTTAAAACAGTCTTGGGAATTAAATTATTTTAATAAGCGGACACTAAATTGGCCTAATATGTAATGTTCAACAAAGGCAAACTGTCATTGCATGGTTCGAGTTAATTCAATCACTTGTAAATAGTACGTCCTTCACGCGGCAGTATTAAACCTCTGCATAGTTTCTTCATTCTAGCTGTCAACAAAATTGATATTTTTAATTGTCTGTTTGAATACACTTTGCATGCCGTTGCATCTTTTTATACCCATTACCCCAGAGCAGTGTAATTTAGCGGTTGTATTGGAATGTGAGGCTTACCATGGCTCTGTAAATTAATAGAGCTAATATGCAAAGCGGGTCTGTAGTGGTGATTGTTTTTGTGGTCCTCAATAAGCCAAGGAGCTTCTTAATTCTTTTCCAAAGTGCTGGAAGACAGTTTTTTATCTTTCAGTTTAAACAAGGACCTACTGTACGTTTCATTGCCAGTCTCCCTGGTAATTAAATACAGGTTATAGTTCTTTTGTATGTATTTATGACTTTTAAATGTGGCTATGTTAATTATGCTTTACGATCACTGGTGGGAAGAAGGAGAGGAGCTCAGATTGAGGGTACAGAATTCTCTTCTCTAGATTTTTCACTGGAGTGCGAGACAAAGTTATTTCACATATTTAAACAATTTTGACCTGAAGGAAAAAGGAACCAAATTACGGAATACAGGAAAACCACTGCAGCTGTTAAAATACTGAGAGGCCTTGTAGAAGAAAAGGAGAATAATATGTATTTGCATAAGAATATACGCAAGATGAGCTAAATATAAAATGTGGAGTAGGGGGAGAGTAACTTGTAGTAATGAAATAAATACAGCTGGGAAAGAAGACCTACGATCACAATGGAGATGATAGAAATGAATTCACTCTAGACTTTTACAGTAGCTAATAAATTGAGGGGAAAAAGTATATTGGGGAAAAAAATGAAGGGAAAGAATAAGAATCACTGAAAATTTTAGAAACACGGTGGATAAACTGCAGAAGACTCCACTTTAGACTAGTGTGGGTAACTTGTTCTGGATGGATTTGTGGGGTTGCTTTTGTTTGTTTCTGACAACTCTGAAATCAAAAATAAAGACTTTTTTGAAATGTTTGAGAAAAATATCGAAGCATTTCAATGAATTAGAAATTGGAAAAAAAAAGTTATATTAAATGCCTGATTTGAGTTACTTTATATGAAAATGAAACCAACTGTAAATGGAAAAATAAGTACTGAATCTTAATTTTCATTTTAAAACAAAAAAACCCCACAAACTTTGTTTATAAAACAATTGCTTGAAATATAAATCAGGATTATTTCCAGAAAGGATTTCCATTTCTCAGTTTAAGAGGGGAGGAAAGGGGAATGGCTTAATATTTTGCTCTATTCTTCTCAGTAAGCATTTTCTGATGTCTTGCCTCCATGTTCATCAATATTATGTCTGTTTTCTTTTCCGTTATCTGACAAGACACATTTGATCTAGATCAGATGTGAATGCATGGCTATATATCTATATAAAACTTTTCTTCTACAGAAGAAATGTGTTATGCCAGCTCTAGGAGAAAAACTAGGAAAGCTTTTCTGGAATAAAGTCTGCCAAGACAGTTGTCTGCAGAAATTGGACCTAGTACTAGGTGGCCTGGAATAGGACTTGCGAGCCCAAGGAGTTGTCCTGAATTATCTCAGAAACGCATACCTTTCTTCCCATGAGTTTCACTGAGACCTTCTTGTTGTTTCTTAGTTTTTTATCTCATGTTCAGATGGAAGTGCTTTTTATTGATTTATCATTGCATGTTGCTTAACAGCAACTTCCAGCCCTTCTCAGACCGTTTCATTTTCCTAGTTTTGTATTCAGTGCGTTTTCCTGTGGATTCTCTTTTGATTAGGCCCCAGCTTCTTTCCCATCTTATCCATTGCACTTTCTATTCCTGCCTCTCCGTTTCGCTGCTATTTTTGCAATCAGAAAAACACCTTTTCATGGCTTCTCTTAAAACATTGCTTCTAACTGTTTTTTGCAGCCCAAATTTAGGGGAATAATTGTATTGCAGAGTCCCTAGCATAATGGAGATTAAAACAGACACCCCTCTGCCAACTCCAGCTGGGCAGAACTTTGACAAAAGTAACTAATTCATAAAAGAAAATTTGAAGGGTAGTGTTAGAACTATAATTTTTTTAAAAATAATTTTGCTTGACCAATTTCTTGTTTTCATGGTACTAAAGGTTTTTTCCTCAAAAATATATTACTTAATATTGGAGAAAATAGCTAATGCAATGCTGAAGTGGCTTTATTTATATTTAATTGCAACAGGTGTTTTTTGTAATGCTGACATGCTGCTAATCTGCAGAGTAATGCCGTTGTCCACTGTCACGAGTACCTCTCCATCTCCTACGAAGCAGGACTTTGCGTTCCAGCTTGGTTTCAAACTCTGTACAGCTAATGCTGTGTGTTCAGCCAATTAGTTGTAGGTAATCCAGACGTCATGTTTCCAGCTTGCTATTTTGTGGCAGTTTCTAAAACGCCAGAGGCTCGAAAAGCAGAGATCAAGTGTAAGGTCTCGATTGTGACCCTGCGCAAGGGACATGTCTCTACTGCTTGTGGTCTGCCCCATCCCTTTTCCTTGGTGCAATTTTATTAAAGCAAAATGGTCCCTTGATATGGCGGGGGAGGAGTCACAGAGCTCTAATCTGGCTGGAAGTACTGGAAACCCTGTCCTGATAATTATTCCTATAACAGGCAATGCCATTACTAGATTTTTTTTTTCTTGTACTGTTTTTAGCTTATACCTAGGATAGACAAGATCACATAGGCAACATTATGCTGTTAAGGTGATAAATGGCAACACTTAATTATGGGTTTGTGCCTTTTTGAAGCATTTGTGGCCATCGAATACTTCCCCTTCCGCGAGCTTGTCTTTGCCTAGGCTGACAGGTCACTGGTAGCGATGATGCTCTGTCATGCCAGACTGATAAAGTTCCTAATCAGGCCCATCAAATGTGGAAATGTAATTGTGTTACATTAATCATGTTTATACTTAACATACATGAGTCTTGGCTTTTTGGGTGTTTTTAATTGACAATAAATCAAATAGTACACTTGAGAAATTGAGGTAATTAATGTAAAGGCATCGGGTGGTGTGTTGCGCATACTGAACTGGGGAATACATTGCCAGTGATTTAAATGTCAAAACA